ACTCCCACCAAAAAAAAAAAAAGAATATTTATACATGTTCCATTCACTTGGAGCTATGTGTTCCAAGGTGACAACCAGTCATCTGATTATACATTTTTCACAAGTGTTCATGGTTAGTCAATGTAATTATTAGCTTTCTACAGTTATTTGCATTTTGTGAGGATCTGCTGGAGTCTCAATGCCAAGAGGATAAGTCTCTGGTTATAAAGTTGAATTTTTACAGCAGCTAGGGAGATAAATTTTCGCACCAGAGGCTTTTGCTAGTGTTCCTCAAAGCACACCAAAAAGGCAACTATCCACTTCAGCTACATGTGAAGTAATTTAGAAAAAAATTCAAGAAGCATTTTATAATGCTTCTAGATGGCAGGCATCTGGCTCAAGTTGGGAATACAAATACAAAATACAAATACCAAAAAAATACAACAAAAAATCCCTATTCTCAAGTTTATATTATTTAGGGAATGAAAACATATAGAAGTGGGGCAGCTAGGTGGTACAGTGGATAGAGCACTGGACTTGGAGACAGGAAGATCCGAGTTCAAAACTGGCCTCAGATACTTACTAGGTGTGTGACTTTGGGTAAGTCACTTAATCCCTATTTGCCTCAGTTCCTCATCTGTAAAATAGGGGCATACTGGAGAAGGAAATGGCAAAACTTCATTATCTTTGCCAAGAAACTCCCAAATGGGGTAACCAAAAGCCTGACACAACTGAAAACAATTGAACAAAAACAACAAAAGTTAATTATCTTTCACCATTTATTCAAATTCAATGGTTGTGATAATTCATTTTGCTATAGTATAACACAAGGAATATTGCAATTGACATGTAGTTCTCTATTAGTTCCTTATATTGAAGATTTCTTAATACTAACTATGAGATGATTGGTACATTTTCTTCTGTATGTGTAAAACTGGATTCTGAGAAAGATGAGAGAGTGGATAGAGTTTGGGATATGAAAATGAAAACTATAATTTTTTTTTTTATTTTAGGCAACTGGGGTTAAGTGACTTGCCCAGGGTCACCCAGCTAGTAAGTATTAAGTGTTTAGTCTGAGGCTGGATTTGAACTCAGGTCCTCCTGACTTCAGGGCCGGTGCTTTATCCACTGTGTCACCTAGCTGTCCCTAAAAACTATAATCTTCAAAGGGATTGCACTGACTGAATAGCAGAATATTTATCTGTAGATTTTCTAGCTCCAAATGACAGTTCAGTATTATGTTCTCACTTGTGAAAAGAATTTGTTATTCAGATTTATGGAATTTCAAAAAAATCTAACACTTTAAGATACAATTCAAAATATTGTGTTAACACACAACCTTCTCATTTAGATCTGTTTATAATTTAATAAGAAAAAAGTCCTTCTATTTAACGGCATATACAAATAGAGAGTCAAGGTTTACATATATTAATTTTCTGCACTAAACATGCAACAATTCAGGACGTCTCCAACAATAAAATGAAAGGGGCAAAATCCTCTGCAAAGCTCTACTCATTTTAAAAGGATTTTGATGAGTCTGAGGATACATAGATCTAGAGTTAAGTATTCAGCTTTCCAGTCATAGCAATTCCTCTAAGGAATATACTTTCATTGTTATATCGGAAAAGTACAAACCAAGATCAAATATTTAGAATCATAGATAGAACCTTAAAGCTAGAATAGCATTCCAGATCTTCTTTATCTGTAAGTTGAAGGGGGTGGATCAAATAACTTCAATGATCACTTGCAGATTAAAATCTAAGATACTACCACCTGATTCTATGACCTCATTTCACAGAGTAGGAACCTGAGGTCAAGAGAGACTAAGTGATATATGTTCAAGGTGACATAATTGGCTAGTGGTGGGGCTTCAAATAAAATCTAAATAGATGTCTAAACTTCCAGACATACTAGTACCTCCTGCTGTGCTATGCAGAGTTGATGGCATCAGTTGTTTCATAAATAACATTTAATAATCCTCAAGATACATCAATCTACTCTTAAAAACAGCTTAGGTTAATTGTCCAAATTGTTATGCCAGTCCAATCATTATCTTCCATATCATGACAATTATAGTAAGAGATAATTTCCTTATGGAATTTGCATTTATAGTCAAACTTCACTCACTAGGGATTTACTAATATAACTGTTAATTAATGACTAAAGCTATTTGCTGGGATAGATTTCAGGCTCAATTTCTAAAAAAATATTCAAAGATTATTGCAGAAACTTCAACTAGGTAACTCAGAATGTTTTTTTTTTCAAGTATTTCTTTTCAATTATAGGAGAACCTCCTTGTTTTCAGACTATTTCCAGTTCAGGATAGATATGGTTCAGTGTCATAAAAAGATTGAAGCAAAACTATGATTCTTATTTAGTTGATTGGAATTGGGCACAAATTCATAAAAAATTAGGTTAAAAAACATGTTCTGAGATACAAGTATATGAATATTCCATAACAGCTTTATTAATTATCATTAGGTTATTATGTTACAAGTCTGTGTTAATGATTATATTTGGTTGGTTTTCATCAAAAGAAATCTCTTAAGTTTTAAGCCACTCAGTCCCTGACAACCTCTGATGGAATTCTTAAGTAAGGCCTGTTTTGTGGAAAACATTTCTCTAATGAGGAATAGGAAAATCACAGGAACTTGGTCAGATATGCCTAGAAAGTGATGTCCTCTAGTAGGGAGAGAATTATTTATTCACTGTCATTTCCATAGGCAGAAGGTAAGTATAGGACCAAAAAGAGTTGGTGCAGAAGCAATATTGGTCTCATTAGAGTAGGGCTTGTGAATTATTTTTGTGTCATGAATCCCTTTGGAAGTCTGGTGAAGCTTATGGACCTATTCTCAGAATACTTTCAAAAGCATGAAGTAAAATACACAGGATTAAAAAGTAAAACAATTACATTGACACAGTTATAAAAATACTTTTGAAAACAAGTTCACAGACCCCAAGTTAAGAACCCCTACATTAGAATCAGTCTCAAAGGAGCTAAGCTATCAGCTGGGATACAGCAGCTAAGAAAGGATGATAAGAAATATTTGCCTGGCAGCAAATTGCCCACATATATTTGCCAGACTATATACTATTCATAATAACTACTCTACAGTGAAAAGGCTATCAAAGGAGATACCTAAAAGTTCATAGTTAATGATCCAAGCTAAGAACCAGTAGTAAAAACCATGGTCTCATATGTCTATACACAAAAGCACAAAGTGCAAGTTAAGGGACTGGGGTTTCCAGCCCCATGTTGATCAATGTAGTAAGGATAATGGCAAGATGAAGTCTCAAGTATACAAACAAGATGGTCTGTACGCTGTGATCTCAGAGGCATAAACTTCTTTGCTAAGACCAAGAAGAGAACAGATTACTAGATAACTAATCAAGCTAACTATACTTCTACTGCATTTAAATAGTTGGAGGAATTTCATCAATGAAGCTGTCTAATAGTCATCCAGTCTACTGGCCAATGTCCAAGTTAATGGTTCCACTTTGAAAGGGAATTACTCTTCACTGAATTATAGCTGCAACCTCTTGTAAGTATTTTCTTCTCTTATTTGAATGTGAACTCCTGAGAGTAGAGACTGCCTTGCTTTTCTTTTAGTATCTCCAGTGCTTGACATGATTCTTCTTTGCAGACAGTAAGTGCCTAATAAATGTCCTTTTTTCATTAATACAAATGTGAACTACTATGTCAGTTTTTATGTCACATGTTAATAATAATCTTGTATTTTCACAGAATTATTTCTGAGTTCTTCAATCTGTGCCCACAAATATCACTTAATGAACATTTGTTGAACTGAATTGAATTGAATCCTCACATACTAGAAGGGGATCAATAATTGGTTAAAATGCTATTGGGGGGCAGCTAGGTGGTGCAGTAGATAGAGCACCGGCCCTGGATTCAGGAGGACCTGAGTTCAAATATGTCCTCAGACACATAACACTTACTAGCTATGTGACCCTGGGCAAGTCATTTAACACCATTGCCTAACCAAATTAAAAAAAAAAATGATTAAAAAAAACACTATTAGGTACATTGTCAAATTAACAGATTCTGCTTGAACAGCTTTGTTTTTCAGCTGTGCACCCAAAGTACATAGGAATATTTTCCCTATAATAGGCACTTCAAAGTTATTTATTAATGTGAATTGAATCAAAATAAAAGAGCTAGTATCTACAGTAATTAGAGAATAAATGACATCCAGTGACCAAACTGTGTAAATAACCAGAGCAACTCATGAACACCTAACAGTGAAAGTGAGTAACTTTTATTTTGAAATCCAAAGAATGATATTAGATGTGAACCCTGGAGAAACAGTGTTTCCTAATGGCTAGAAAGCTAGAGCAAGGAGCAGGAAAGACCTTGGTTCAAGTCTGACCTATTGGCTTTGTGACCCTGGGCAAGTCACATAACCTCTCAGTGCCCTTAGCAATTCTCTTTGACCATCAATTTCAGAGAAGGTGCTGACCTGCATTAATAGAGAGAGTTTCCTCATCTGAGAAGTGCTCATATTAATATAATAACAATTTTAGTCACGGTCAGCTCACCTGCCCGTATTTCTGAGAATATGTCACAAAATCGTGGCACATCACAAATGTGCTACTAAGATTTCACACTATACATTAATGGATAAATAAAAATCTTAGCTCCATAATTTCAAAGTATTTCATCAGTGCTAAAATTTGTTGGTTCGTGTAGTTACTAAGAAAATAAGCCTAGTAAACATTACACTTTTGGTTCAGAAATTCAAGTATATTCTTTAGGTGCTCGATATTAGAAAACCTGGTGAGATGCTGACTCGTCAAGAGCAAAGATAACAGCAATGCTCACTTATTTATTTTTCCTTTCATCTTGTTGAGCTACAAATACGTAAAGAATGAAACAACCAAGGATTTAAATCTCAATGACTCAGGATTGGTGAAAGTTCTTAGCTATCGATTAAATTGGATTCTTCTTTGGTTGTTCTTTTATTCTTTCCTCTTATGTTTTATTCATGCATTAGGTCTCTTACCGTGTTGGTAGGATGGTAGTTGAGATGCAAACCACTGTCACAAAGGGGAGAAGATGTGCCACTGCTCTGGTCACTTGGAGCACCTAAAAAAAACCAAAACAACTCTATAATATAAATCTAAATGATATATATACACACACACACACACACACACACACACACACACACACACACATAATGTGTATATATATATGTATATGTATATGTATATAAAATTTCACAGTTCTCATTGGCACACCTAAATATACTTTTAACAATATGGTTCACGATCTCAGGTTTCTTTCAAGTCAGCTAAAATCTCACCATTGCAAGAAGCCTTTCTTCCACTCCTATCCCCTACCCCCACCCTATGCTGGTGCCTTTCATCTGGGATTATCTCCTACTGATCCTATATTGATCATTTGTAAATAGTTGTTTGTATGTTGCCACCCCCATTAGACTGTGAGTTTCTTCAACTTAGTGTACAACCTGGCACATGGTAGAAAATAAATGCTTGTTGACTTTTGGCAATGAAGAAATGAATTAATTGCTTCATTGAAATCAAAGCATAATATTGAAAATTGTATTGCTTAAGAGGGAATAGATTTTATTTTTTTCCTAACAGATGTGATCCTTTAATAGTAATTTTACTGTATATTCCTATACTAATTTCACTACACAAGAGCTCCTTTCAAATAATTTTCCCCCTGTAATATGCTATTTCAGAGAAGACTTTTTATATAAACCCACACCAGCAAATGAATTAATGTGGAAGTCTTAATTTCTATGTATTAAAATGTATTTAGACTATCCTATCATTTCAAAGTAGCAGCTGTTAATGTGTGTGTGTATGTGTGTGTGTGTGTGTGTGTGTGTGTGTGTGTGATGGATTCCTCAGTACCCTGTTTTTTAAAGGCATAAAATACACAGACTTACAAAAGAAATCAATAATGTTAAAATGCAGTTTCTCTCTCTTTCTATCCATCTATATTTGTAAAACAGGTTCAGACCCTCTAAATTACAGATGTATTTTATAGTCAATTAAAAAAGCCATAATTGAGATGCCAGCTTGGTAGCTATAGGAATACTCTGATAGACTATGGAAAATATCCAAAATGAAATTCTATGACCAATTTGTGCTGGGACATGAGGTGAGGGATTGGGAGAAGAGGGATGATCTCATGCAAAAAATTCCTCATGCAATCTATATCAATACTTGTGGTTGTTGTTATGGTTGTTGTTGTTTTTTTAAAGGCTCTGGAAGCAGCCTTAATTTTTCTAATAAATTTAGATCACTGAAAAGAATTGCAAGTTTTAAGATTCAGATCCTTTCTCCATTAAAGATAATAATAGGTACCCTATTTACAATGTTGGAATTAATGTGGGTGGATGAAGGGCAGGCATCCTTAGAGGTTTTGTTCTCTGGGTATCAGAGCATAGCAGTCATCATAAAGTCAGTGTAGTAAGTAGCTGACTTTTGTAGATTGTCTTTTCTTAGTCTCCTGGATAGCCCCTGTGGGGAATTCTTTGTGAATCTTTGTGAAAAGATTCTTTGTGACTAAAGGGAACAGTGAATGGAATGTTGGACTTGCAGTCATGAGGCCCTGAGTGTTTAAATTCTACCTCAGATGCTTACTAGCTGTGTGATCCTGGGCAAGTCAATTAAACTCTTTCATTCTATTTCCTCACTATAAAAGGGGGATAATAATAGTTGTTACCTCACGGGGTTGTTCTGAAGACCCAATGAGATATCATATTTAAAGTGCTTTCCAAAATTTAAAGTGCTATATAAATGCTAACTATTATTATTCTAGGTTTCCAAACCTTGATCCAGTTGCCTTGGCTTTTACTGGGTAAAGTTCAAACCTAAGTCTCACTTACATTGATACTCCAATCCAATAATAATGCAAATAAAATCCAATATCCAATTTATTAAGGGACTACTATATGCCAAGTACTGTGCGAAGTGGAGGCATAGAAGACAGCTGCTACCCTCAGGGAGTTTACTATCTAATGGGGGAGACCACACACAAAAGGCAGGAAAAGGCAGTTAGGGGGATAAAGTTGTATCCAGCAATGGAGTTCTGTGGAGTTGAAACCAGGTAGAGCAGCAGATGCAGATGGAAATGAGCCAAAAAGTGTAGTTTCTGCCTTCTATAAAGAAAAGCATTGGAAGAGGTTCAGAAAGAACTCTATGAGTACTCCCCCTGCCCAAATCCCTTTTTTTCTTTTTGAAAAAGATCTTACAAGATTTATGTAATTAACAATGTACTGTTCTACTCTGATTTGATTCAATTTGATAAATGATGTTAACTCATATGTACTTTTCATTTAAAAAATGGGATTCCTCCAGTAATGTTCTCATCTAATTCCTGATGGCATAGAAGTGACCCTGAAGGCAATGTCAGGGGAGCCCAAAATCTGGCAGGGCCTAACAAATTAGAAAGGCTTTGGGAATGAGGTCTGTTAATCAAGTTTAGTATGAGTCAGCAATGTGTTGTACTGCCAGCAAAGCTAATTTCATCTTGGGCTGCATTAGAGAAAGTAACAGCTTCCAGGAAGAGTAGGTGATTATCCCACTGCACTTTGCTCTGTTTGGCCCCAATCTGGGTTATTGTGTTCAGTTCTGGAGAACATTGAGAAACTGGAGAGTGTCCAGAGGAGGGCAACAAAGTTGGTAAAGGGGAGGCCATAACATATAAGGAGTAATTGAAGGAAACAGCCATCCTTAGGCCAGAGAAGATTCAGGAAGGAAATGCAAATTGTCTTCAAGTATTTGAAAGGTTGTCAAATAGAAAAGTGATTAGGCTTTTTCTATTTAACACCAAACAGGTGAAAGAAGAGCAACGGGTGACAAGTACAAAAGTAAAAGTTTAGATTTGATGTCAGGAAAAACAAAAAAATAGACAAACACAAACTTCCTAGCAACCAACATTCTCCAAAAGTGGAGTAGGCTTCCTCAAAAGGTGATGTGTTTGCCATTTTTGGGAAGTGAGCCTGGGCAACCACTTTTCTGGTGCATTACAGTAGAGATTCCATATATACAAACATATATATCTATATGTGTGAGTGTGTGTGTGTGTGTTTAGAAATGCACACACATATAATGTGGAACTCAATGGCCACTGAACTATTTTTCCACTCTCAAATTCTGAGTTTCTCTGAATTAACTGTTTCTATTGTCCAAGAGCTATCCTTGACTTAGATCATCACTAAGAAGAGGACAGCCAGATCATGATTTTTTGTAAGTACACAGAAACTCATGTGATTTGGAGGAACTTTGATCATCATGGGTGGGGTGAAGGTAAAAGGTTGGATTGGACAGTCACTAGTGAAATCATGGGCCATTTAAAGAAGGAAAATTTGGGTTCTATTTTTATTTAACAATTTAGGAAAGGAAGGATGAAATGAGGCAGATAAAACTAATTCTAGAAACATATTATATAATTGATTACAATTACAGAGTCAACTGCATCCTTCCATATCCCTACTAATGAAGGGCAGGTAAACTGAAAGTTTTCTTCATTAATACATTCTCTAATTAAATTAAAATATAGGAATCTTTAGCTCTAAGAGATCTCTTAACAAAGTTTCCTGATTGGAATTTAAATGGAGGTACAAATGTGTTAGCTATGATTTACATTTTCTTTTCCCTATCAAACCTTGGTATGAGGAAGTGTCTTTAAATACTCTGAATTCTTCCTCTGGCAAAGATAGCATCTATTACCTTCCCAAAAATGTTAATCTAGCACCTGGTGATATAAAATGTTCACATGCAGACCACAATCCTGACTTAGAAAGGAAGATGCCAATCACTGTCAGAAGAGATGTTTGAAAATGATAGACTGAATGATGCAGGCGTTTTTCTTTCCATTTATCATAGATGCTTACATGCACAATCTTCATTCAGCAGCAGTTTGAGGAAAGCAGGTGCTCTTTTTAGGAATGATACAGTTAGGGTCACTTCTTCACCTGCATTCCGAAGAACCTGAACCTGAAAAATGAATGAAAATGATGATGTTAGATTTGGGTTCCCAAAGCCATTTACATTTGACTCCAACAGTTTGAAGTGGTTTAGCATCCCTCTTCATCTGTCCCTTCCACATGAAGGTTTCCTTCCTTGTTCTTTCTTCAACACTACAACAGAAAATGATATGAATGAGGGAATACAAAGTTTGCTACTGTAGGTGCCAGGTAAACAACAGGTTTCTTACTCACAGCGCCACCGTTGTTATCACTTGACATTTACTGAAGTCTTGCTTGCTTATCATTGCATATTGGCTAACCTGGGAGTTTATATAAATCAGATAAAATTCAGTTCCTATTTTCAAGGTCTTTAGAGTTAAAAGGAAATCAATCCAGATCATGGTTGCAAGAATATAAAATTTTGCTCACTAAGGCCACCTGCAAATGCATTTAATAGCAATAACACCCCTTTCTTGCTACTTTACTAATAAATACATTTATTCCCCTTTCCAACCTAAATATAAATAATGGTGGCAGTGACTACTATTACTTTGATGTCTGAAAGTGTCTTTTTGGACATTTATTTCAACTTTTGGACTAGATTTGTGCTTTCTTAATTATATGGAATTCCTTGATATGCTCATTTCTATATTAATGCAGATAGGCATCTACTCTTTACCCTGGTTTTAGAGAGCTGACTGAGGTAGTAAGGGCTTAAGTAAGTCACACAGCTACTGTATGTGTCAGAAGTGGCATTTGAACTCAGGTCTTCCTGACACTAAGGCCACTTCAATATCCACTTCTCATTCTTTGTGTACATAGATCATAAAAATTATACATTTGGCACTTCCAGTAACAAATCAATAATTTCCTTTTCTGGAGACATATCTGCTGTCTTAGAAGACTAAGTTTAGTTCCCATCTGCTCTAACCTGGACTCCTGCATTAGTCTTCTAACTGGACTCCCTATGTCAAGTCTATCCCTATACCAATTCATCATCAGCATAAATGCCAAAGTTCTTTTCTAACACTGTAAATTCTGACAGTGTTAATCCTCTATCAAATACTAGCAGCTCCCTATAGTATCAAATAAAATTCCTCTTGTAATCATTTAAAGTTCTTCATAGAGAATAGTGGGTCATGTAACCAGCATTATGGCAAATCACTTTTTCTATAACCCCTTTATCTCTCTAACTCTAAAAAAACAAACAAAAAGAATTATACACCAGTTTTAGAGGAATTACTGCTGAATCCAGAGAACAAAGAGATAACTCTGAAAAGATAAAAACCTTCTGATTTAACACTGGTGAACGCTAATTTTTAAAATGTCCATTTGGATGTCCCCCTCACCATGCTGCAGGGATACAACTGACCTCTCTCATTTTGTACCTTGGATCTATCTTTTTAAAAAAAAATATTTTTAATTTATGGAATAAAACAAGCATTTCCATAGCATAGTATAATGAAAAAGATGATTGCAAATGAAACTACATATGTACAATTTGCTATTCCTTTTAATTATATAATAAAGTTGCCATACCTTGGATCTATCTTAAGATTCTCTCCTTCCCTGATATAAAAGAAAATCTGAGAGAATCTCTTTTTTCCACCCTTGCCCAGTCATATGTAACTGAAAAGGAAAAGTAAAAAGGGTAAAAAGCATCTGCCTTCTGATAGGGGATCTACTTTTTGGAACCCCAAAGCTGCAAAGATTCTTTCTTGAATATCTCTTCATGCTTCCCCTCACTCCACCAAAAAAATTCAGACTCGGATTCATCCTAGCCAAGGAAAAAATGGAGGCCAATGCGCATGATTATGTTTGGCCTAAAGGAAAAGGAACTGAAATCAATTTGGGGTCAGTCCTGCTCATCTCCCTCAGGCTACATGGCATAGAGACATAGGATGGAAAACCCTATAATCCCCAGATTAAACAAGGTTATGAAAGCCCAGTAACTCAGCAACGGAATTATAAACACCAGAAAGTCAGTAATGAAGCAATTTTTTGAAAGTTTCAAACACCAGAGATTTCAATAGAAAACATCTATAAACAAGGCAGGAACACTAGAAAATTTATCAATAGAGAAGATCCCAAAACAAAAAGAATAATTCTGTTTCTTTGTGTAACTCTTTAAAGAAAAAAACATAGCTCTCAAAAAAAAAAAATAAAGCAAACGAAATGGAACCAATGCCTGACATAACAAAGAGTTCTGTGGAATACAAAAAAAAAAAGGAACAAAAAGAAACCACAATTTTTCAAAAGAACTGAAATCTATAAAATAAATTAGAATGAACACGTTGGAACTTAGAGGTCTAAATGTATAATTAAAAAAAATAATCCACATTGGAAAGTTTCTTTACAAAAAAGAGAGATTAGCAGATTTGGAACATAAAAATGTGAAATATAGAGAAAATCTAGCAGAAGAAAAGGAAAAAGAAAAAAAAGAACACAAAAACTGAACAAAAAGGATTGACCTTGAAGACAGGATGGGCAGAGACAACTTAAATATTACAGGTCTCTTAGAAGAAGATGACGAATTGGGGGAAGGGGGAATCTGATCATAACACAGTAAGTAGTAAAAAAAAACAAAAACAAAAACCTGCCCATAATTTTTGAAAATAGAAAACAAAGCATAAATTAAGCACATTCACAAATCATTCTTCACATGAAACTCCAAGACAAATAGTAGTTATATTTAATAAATTCTAAAACACAATAGCTAAAGGGAATATTTTGTTCCCTGGAAAATGACAATTACCTTCACCTTAATGCAAAGATTAAGTTTCTGCAATATATTTTTGGGGCAACTAAGTGGTGGAATGTATAGAGCACCAGGCTTGCAGTCAGGAAGGTTTGATTTCAAATGCAGTCTCAGATATGGTAGGCAAGTCCTTTAACCCCTATTCACTTTAGTTCCTCATCTGCAAAATGAGGGCAGCTAGAGAAGGAAATGCAAACCACTACAGTATTTTTACCAAAAATACTCTGGAGTCACATAGAGCCAGGCAGGACCTAAAAACAACAATAGCACAAAACAACAAATTCTTCAAGCATTCAGAAGATGGAATTTAAAAAACAAAAGAAAGGAAATTTACCTATCATAGATTATCTCCTAGTCAACACCACCAACAAAAGCACCAAAAAAAAAAAAGAAAGAAATTGGAGGGATTTGAGTACCATTACTATATTCCAAAATGTAAATGAGGTCAAGATGAAACTCAATACGACATGCTCAGCAAACTTGAGCGAATGTAGATAATGTAAACAAAATATTGATTTAAAAGAGGAAAGGGATAACCAATTTTTTAAAAAAGCCATTAAAGAAACAAATGTCAAAATATTCATATAACGTTTATTGTGAATGAAAAAATAATAAAATCAGAGTAGGAAAATAAAACTATTATCTATTATTTATAAGAAATACATCTAAAAACACATGCAGAAGGAAAATGAGAAGTGAGAAAAATTATTATACTTTAAGTGAATCAAAAAATACAATTGCAATCTTTCTATCAGAAAAAAATGAAACAAAACAAAAATAAAGATTTGTGATTTCAATGAAATGAAGTTATAGTTTGCCTAAAGGAATGGTACAAAATGAATTTATAACAACATTAAACATATGTGTGAAATAGCAAATGGTCTAAATTTATAAAGGGAAAGTTAATTGAATTATATAAAAGATACAGGGAATAACATAACAGTAGTAGTAGTTCCTACCTCAGAGGTAGAAAAATCTAACAGAAAGATAAGAGTAAAATATAAAACTGAACAAATTTCTGGAGAATTTAGGGCCAAAATATTTCTACCAACTTCTGAACAGAAATTATAATAGTAACATTTCTCAGAATCACATGACACTGTTACAAAAATAAGCATATAACACAGAGAAATTTTAGTGAAATTTTAGAAACAGAAAAAATAAATGTTTCCTCTATATACCATAACACAAAATAATAATTAAAACAAGAATTAAAACAAAAACACCTAAATGGAGAGTTCAATAATTAGGAACAACAATTATGTCAGAGAAAAAACAAATCAATTGTCCTTCATAGCATGGCTAAGAGGTAAATTCTTAAGCAAATAAGTAATATTAATTATTATTAAGGAAATAACATATTGATTACATGAAATTGAAAAGATTTCATTTAAACAATTTAATGCAAGTAGTAAAAGAAAAGATGAAGCGAGGGAAAATATTTGAATCCAATATTTCTGATAAAAGTGTGATATCCACAATGTCTGGGCAAGTATCAGGAATATGTAAGGCCAAAAATTATTCTCCAATAGATAAATAATTAAAGGATAGGAATGGTTTTCAAAAGCAGAATTGAAAAAAAAATTAATAACCACATTAAACTTTGCTTGAGATCACTAATAATAAGAGGAATATCAGTCAAGATAATTCTGCAGTTTCATCTCATATCCAGAAATTGACAAAGAAAAGAAAAGATGTAAATAGTGTTGGAAAGGTTGTGGAAAGATAAGTACATGAATTGGTTCAAGTATAATAGAATAAAATTTGTAATTATTCTAATAAAGTATGTATCAACTATGTATGCCCTTTTGACTCAGAGATTTTACTGCTTGGTGTGCAACCACAAAAGGTCAGTTGCAAAACTAGAGGGCCCATGTACATTAAAATGTTTGTAGAAATGTTTTTATATTAGTAACAAAGAACAGAAAGTTCAGTCAATACCTAATGATTAGGGAATTGTTAAAGGTTATAGTGATTTAATATAGTATAACTTTAGTATGCTATGTGAAATGATGAATGTGAATATAGAGAAGCATTGAAAGACTTATGTGAACATGTATGGGAATAAGCAGAACCAAGAGGAAAATACACACACACACACATGTGTAGATACATATATACAAATAATATATAAATATATTATATAATAAAAATATATAAATATATCATATAAAATAATGATATATAAGGAGATAGATAGACAGATAGACAGATAATGAGTTCAGCAATGGAACAGTAATAGGTAAGCAAACAAAAGTGAATGCTGCAAA